TTCCATCCACAGAAAATAGTAATTTCAAGAGTAAGAGTAAACATTTGCAAAATATTTTCTATACTATTTAGTTACAGACAATGAACTAAAAAGCACATTCAAAACAAAATTAACTAGAGAAACCACAGAGACATAGAAAGAAGATCACAGGAGATAAGGTTTCAGCCTGCTGTTCATCTTATTTTATTAGTTTGGGAGTTATTCCACTTCTATTAAAGTTAATCAGGGTTCTCAAAGATATAAGAGAACAATGGGACGAAGTTCTAGGTAATTTTTTCCTTTCTATTCCCTTCAATGTTTATCACTGGACAGTGTTAATCATATTTAAAGATTGTGCATAGCAATCTACATGGATATATATGACATTGTCTGACATTTTGTAAAAAAAAAAAAAAAAAAAAAAAAAAAAAAAAAAAAAAAAGTTAAGTACTGAATTTTGGGAAAAGAAGTATATAGCGTTAAGCACAGGAAAAAAAATCCATTTAATTTGAATTTGCAAGGACATGCACATACACTACAGAGTAGCAGAAAGACAGGTTTTTGATCTTAAATTGTATGATAAATATGTCAAATTGTAGTATCTTCTGACTAAAATCAAACAAGCAATTGAAGGGAATAGCAAAAATAGTTTGCTACATTCAACTTTTATGTTATGGACTGGGTGTAGTTTTTTTTTTTAAAATACAATTTATAGCAAATCAGTTTTTCATTCAGCTGAGAACTAAAAATGGTACATTATATTTTAACAGACTGACAGTGAGAAGAACACAGGAAAATCTATCTAAAAGAGGTGAACATACCTAATAGAAAAATTACTTTTCATCTTAATAATATCAAATATCTACATTTAAATTAGCTATAGGTAGCATTTCAGCCCACCATACACTAAGATTATAAACGTCTCAGCATTTAAAACGAAGTAAGCGTACTTGTACGAAAAGTCATGAAGTTCCTACCTTGGAAACTAAATCAATATTAAACCTTCTGCCTTCTCTAACAATTTGTGAATAGGTAATTTTCTTTGGTTCTTGGGCAGAATTTTCTGAGGGTGCAGCTTCTGTTTTCCCCACACGCGAATCGGACTCGCCTGAAGCTGCGTTAGGAGAACTTCCACCCTCTGAGGTTATTTCTGTTTCACCGCCTTCTGTTGCACTTGCTGGGTCACTGCTTGCAGCCTTTTCTGGCAAGGTGTTTTCCATAGGAATGGTCTCCTTTTCCAACTCCTGAGCAGCCCCCTCGGCACCAGAAGTTGCAAAGAGAGGCAGCTTTGACAAAGCTCCAGCTTCTTCAACATCTTCTGCTGAATCCTGACTGATTGAAAACATACGGGGAAGGAGAAGGGTGGGGAGGAAAAAGAAAAAAAGAAGGACTTTAAAATTATCTTAAAAACTTGTTTAAACTTTTGAGTTAGCACCAGCAATGGAAACATCGGCCTTTTGGTGAAAATACTTTACCCTGGTCAAAAGGGGTGTCACCAGCTAGACAGTTCTGGATTTCTGATTGTAAAGCTAGCGTTGAAGGCGAGTACTGGAGGGAGGGTGTGGGCAGGAATGAAAAAACTTGTGTGTTCTTTTTTTACATAGAATCCATAAATTCGGCTTAATACGAAAAAATAAAATTCTACACATTACGCAGCTATATAAACAAAGAAATCTAGTTTAAATGTGCAGTTTGATTGTCTTTTTCTTACAGATAAAAAACTTTAAAATTAAACTACAAAAAGACAATCAAGTTACAAGCCAAGACTTTTTGAAACCAAGTTCACTGAAGGAAACAGAATTGCCAGGTATGACTGAGACTACTTTGCATAGTAAAATAGTCTAAATAATCTAATATAGCAAGTCTTCTAGAGAAACACAGAATTTTGAACTGAAGCTCAGGTTCATATTAGATTAAAAAGTTTATTTTTCAGACTCTGATCTTACATTCTGAGCAGCAGCCATAAAGAACAGCAGTAAAGAATGGTGTATTTGCATAGCTTTTTAATAAGGTACTAGAGTTCATAAGTTTAACCACGCACCAACCAATTATCAGCAGAATACATGTATTACATTATTTTCACTTTTACTAACTTTTTGCAATCTTAGATTTATTGCACACGTGGTGAATCTGCGCATAGTTCTGATTAATTCCTAACGTGCTTATGGTGAAGGCAGGCAGTCAAAGGGAGGGATATTATCACACCCGAGTATTCCATACAGTCCATTTCCTTTTCATAATGATACCACTCCTTAATATTCCTCTTAAAAAGCAGACCTCCACTTTTAATCTCATCTACCCTTTTTATCTGAACTTCAATGACATCTACCTTAGAAACTCGTACTTTTGAACTTCCAATTTTAGTTTATACTACCAGCTGAGATGAATCAAATCAGTGTCATTGTAAGTGAAAGGAGTCCAGCAATAATTTCACACTGTCTTTTAATCTTCATACCACAAGCCATTAATGCACTGTATAAACAATTTAATCTCAGCAGAAAACTAATGAACTATGATTTTTAAGGTGACCTGCAAATGTACAGTATTGAATTTCAGTAACTATCTAGATGGTTAAAATTCACAGAGCAGCAAGGAATTATGTGGCACTCTTATAAAAACGTTCCTTCACTCATTGGCAGCTGTAGAGATGGAAGTGGGGGGAGAAATTTTGGTTCAAGTCATAAAAAGAAAGAAAAATTCTGCCTCCTTTAAAGGGTTTATCTCCTTATGATCTCAGGGGCTACTGAAAGCAAGAGTTTGGTGTGAGCCTGGTGCACAACCCTCAGAAAGCACTTATGAATGGGACACAATACAGCCCTGGGAAGTACAAGAACTGCTGGAAGGAAACAGTAATAAACACGGTCAGGTTCTGCAGATTCATTATTTATGTTTCTTTATACTGCGTACATTAAATACATGTAGAGTAGCAAACAAAAAAATAAATACTGTGTCAAATGTTTCTAAAAAAAAATTAACAGAACTGCCTCTATTCCATTTCAGGGAGCAAGAGGGAGTCGGTTTGGTTTAGCAATGCAGAATGCTGTGTAAACAGACCAAAACAACCTATTGTCATTAACATAATCACTAAAAATTAAGCTTTTATTTCAGCTTCTCTGAAGCTTTATAGGACACAATGCAAAGTAAGGACAAGCTTTTTCCTCCTACCTTTACACAGTCTGACTGCACAGATCAAGCTCATTTTAAACATACATATATATATTTTCTTAATCATCAAAGTAAAACTTGGATTTGCAATGCATTTTTGTCTTTTTTTCTGTATCAATCTGAAACACAGTATAACAGAAATGTTATATTTGCAGATTTTAAAATTAATCTTACATTTTAAAACCAAAGTCAATTCCTACTTAATGAATACGTAAATCTGTATGATTTGCAGCTCTACCCACTTTATAATGGAAGCCTAAGAAACATACATAATCTAAATTCATGACACCTTTCCTATAGGAACAAATATCCTTGAATAATGGAACAAGTGTCTATAAAATCACTGAAATTGAACTTTTGTGCAGACAATTCTTCTCCTAATTCAGAAAAAAAATAATACATCTGCAGACAAATTGTTGTGTAAATTTAGAATATTATCTTCTACCATTCATCAATTAATGGTACTAACAAAGGAATATCTTAAAATGAATGTGTCTTATTAATGCCTTGTAACAGCAACCCCTTCAGATAGGTCAAATGAAAAATTGCCAACCAGCTGGTTAATTTATTCAGCACAGGTGTTCACTATTTATTTTTCAGCCATTTGCCTTTTTTCAATACAGCTTGTTGTAGACACAGTATTCTTTTCCTTTGATGGATGCACTTTGTTCTAAGGCCATTCATTTCAGATTTGCACCGTGTATATTATACTGCTACCCAGCTGTTTATTCTTTCAAAATAAATGTTTAATGGTTACTTCATAGGAGTTATAAAAGTTAAGCAAAAACAACAGAATCTAGCCAGAATGTGTAAATTGTCAGAAACACAATAATTGACTCTCTCAAAAAGTTTTAAGTTAATTTGGCAAACTTTTTTTTGATAGTTTTATTAGTCTTACAGTTCTTTGTTGTGTTTTTTTTTCCTCCCATGATAAATGGAAGACAGTATTACACTGCCAGATTAAATTAAAAGCACTGTTAAAACATGAAGATCCAACTAGAATGCTCACTTCCAAAAAACTGCAACTCATTCTTGCTGGGGGACTCTCCTTTGAGCCGGCCATGAGTCTGTATCACCTCTTCAGTGACAGTCTTCTTAGGGATGCAAAGCTAAGAGACTATGAATCTTTTAGTCTTATTTAATATTGGTTCTGAACAACATTCATTAACACAATAATACTAAAGTATTATATTGACATTGCTTTAAATCAAACATAACATTTTACACACAGTATGGTCAAGCAGCCATTACTATGCAACGCAGCTGTATTCTGTAACCTTCAGATGGTGTTACTCTAATTCTTACATTATATTATTTCTACTAATTGCGAAAGAAACAAATATTTCTATACGAATATCTGCCAGTGTTTCATTCAACTACCTATGGTATCATCTAAGAAACTCAAGGTTAAACTTTAAACTACTATTTGAATAAACCTTTCAGGAAATCATAATAATTCAATAATTCAGTGCAAAACCTGTAAGATACAAAAATAATAAACAGAGAGAAATAATTCAGTTTTCAATTGAGGCCCACGCAATTTCCATTCATTATTACTATGCTTAAGTACTATTTGAGACTATTGCTTAACCAAGATACTTTTAGATACCTTTAGATACTTTTAGATAACAAGGCTGCTGAAGGAATATTCAAATGCTGCAACCTGACAAGGTAGCATAGGAAGAATCTTCCTATGGAATTACCTTCAATGAAGTTTGGTAATTTCAACAGAAGAGCAAGGACTCCTACTGAAATTTTGCAATTCTTAGTTTTCTTTTAAAGGAAGCATGTCAGGCTGCTGGCGATGAAAAGCTTAAAGCCAAGTAAATGTAATCATCTATCTGTGACATGGAAAATTATTTGTGTATTTCCATATTGGCACTTACTTGCTAAAACAGAAATCTTCTACATGTTCAATAGTTTTATCTGAGTTGTTTAGCAAAATAACTTCTTCATTCTCAAGGATCAGTTTTCTCCAGTCTTCACACTCATCATTGACTTCAGTTTTCTGCTTAAAAGAAAAATTATGAAATTGCAAATTTATCCTGCACTATTTTTAGACTATAAATCTCTATCTTTCCATGAGATTCAAAATGATTTTTCTTTTAACAATTCTATATTTTTTCTTTAAAGACTATATAAAAATAATTAGGGCTGGTCACTTCACTGTAGTATGTCAATATTTTCACTACATTATTAGCTCAATTAATTTGAAAATGCAGCATTAAATGAAATTCAAGTTTTAGTAGAAACTAAAATACAGCCCAGTAAAATATAGGTTTGTCACAGCCAGGTTAGTTCCAAAATCTGAGCTAAGTTTCTTTGAATAGCGTGAAATAAAACGATCTGAGTATTATACAAGTCTCAAATATAGGGATACTTGGTGTCATTTAGTCATCAAATACTAGTTTTCAATACTGTAAAATATAACAGATATACAGCAGTTCTACTCTAGTGTCAATAGTTATCCAACAGATGGGAATACTAAGCATATATCCAACATATGCCTTATATATGACATCCAATATATAGGGATATTAAGCAGTCTCATTTTTCAACCTACCTTCTCACGTTGAAGAATGTTAATAGCAGTAATTTGGGAATATATATATATTTTTACCTGTTTTTCTTTAATCCAGGACAATAATCCTGAAAAGCTAAAGCTGGCCCAGTTTCCACCATAGTAATTTTTCCTGCAAAGAAAAAAACAACAATGCAACATAAAACTTCAGAAAACTTGAAACAGAGCTTTTTCAATTGTTTTTCAGATTTTTTAAAAAACTTAAATTCAAACATTTTCAGCGATAAATTTTACGTGTGCCGAACATGCAAGTTGGAATAATGCTTTTCAAAAATTTCAGTCAGATACAGAATGTAAGATGTAGAATTTCCATTTTCATCCACAGCACGGCGATGAGATTTGGCCCATTTCTGGGGCAGTAAACTGCAGCCTGTCCGGTAGATGTGCAGCGCAGTTATCCCCAGAGAAAGCGCCCTGGGCTCTGCGAGGAGCAGAGGAAGGTGCCCACGGAGCAGGCCCCGGCCCAGCCTGCCCTGCACGCCCGCGCGAACACCCTGCCCGGGGTGTTTCCTGCAGGCAGCACCTGCGCAGCGCCGGGCCCCCCATCACCCAGCAGCTTGCTTAGGGGCTAACCAGCACCAACAGGGCCCTGCGGCTTCTGCCTGGTGCTGATACAAAAATGGAAATAATTACACCGCATGGCACTTCCTCTCTAAAGTGGATAAGGCTGGGGAATCTCAACATCATTCCCATGAAGTAACGATGCTTATGCAAACTGAGCTTGGGTCCAGACAGTAGAATCTGCACTTCTCTTCTCTGTTATGTCAAAGATAAATGAACTTCTATTCCTGACAGAACAATTATTATACTTATTAAGAACTGTTTACATTTCCTGGCACGAGCATCTCTAAACCACATGTACTGTAGGTGGAGCCAAAGGAACTGATTTGTACAAAATAATCATATCGTCATGCATAATTTTCAGTGTATATTTACTACCTTCTGCCTTGAAAATGTTACTTGTTTAAAATTACAGAAAATTAACAATCATATTGTTCATCAATAAATGGTCTCTGCTTTCCTTTTTTTCATTTTTTTTCTATCAAGAATTCCCTAGCCATATGATGAAGTTAGCAAGTTATCATGAATTTCAGATCTTAAATATTTAGTAACTGTAACAGGAAATATAATAGACCAATTACATTTTTCAAAAAATACTAGTGCTTGCAAAAAAAAAAAAAGATACTTTCAGATTTAACTAGATTTAACTTAAATCTCCATTCTCTAAATTATGGATTTTTTTCCATAAAAGTGAAGGATACCAAAAATTAAATGCATATTTAACCTTACACAGTAAAAAAACGTTGAGGGAGCAAGGAGAGCTTTGTGTTTTATAGAATACTGCAGATTGATAAATTCAACAAACTTGAAGATTTCATCGTAACACACTCCATTTCTGAATTGTGGAGCGAAGTGCCATCAAAAATAAATTAAATTCAGGTTGGATTCTACAGTTGAGGCTAGGCTGGTTTTGACAAGGGCTACATGCACTGACAAAGGCTTCATTAAGAGTGTCAGCCCCCTCACAGTACCAGGGGGTGATGCTCTAGCCCATGTTGCTTACTTAGCATATGAAAGGCAGATGTCTGCCAAACAATCCTTAATTGTTCCTGACTAGAACCTGACCTGAAAAAGTCTTTCAGCTACTGCAAGGCAACCGTAAGGAACATAAATAGGACATCTTTTGCAGAGACGACAAAATCTGGCATTCACTGAATAAAGGTGGCTTCAAGAACACAATATAGTGCTTAAAGCCATGATCTGGGAGGACTGGACCTATACTTAAAACAAAAAGCATGGCTTTTCCATGCAGTTTAGTTTATGCAGCAATTTATTCATTCTGAGCAGAAGAGATCCATCTGTAGACGTGTTACCAACCAGAAGCTCAGATCTTCTATGAAAAGGAGTTAATATTTATCTCATTATGTGAGTGATAAAGAAGCTTAAAACATGTACATTTGGTATCACATGAAATACGATGCAGTGAGAATTAACTATATTACTGAACCCCTGATTCTTCCAGATTTCAGTCTGCGAAACAGCGCCAACAAAAATCTTAAGGTCTATTTAATTATAAATAAGCTATAAACATATAATTAAAGCTTTAACATTCAAAGGTGCACATTAGTTTCTTGTTCCTTCCTGAAATTCCACTGAAAAGACCAACATCCATAAATGATCTGCCACTCCTGGGAATTCTGCCAAATGCAGTCATGAATATTTGCTCTAAGAGAACCTGCAGCTTTAGTTGCCAACCGCCTGGACTATGGAATATAATGTGCTGGCCAGAGCAAGCAAGGCCGCTGATCACACAAACTGAAGAAAACACCTGCATGAAACTGGGGTTCTCTTGCGCCTATACTAATATCGATTTATGCATATTTGGAATATTTCAATTTAATAAACTTTGAGTAAGAGAAATTGCTATACTAACACAGAACTAAAATTATGAAACTTTCTGTGAAATCATTAGACATCCGTAACACAAACACCCTGTTCAAGTGGATTTTTCTTTGCAGCTGCTTTTGCTTTTGAGCCCCACCGAGGTGGGCCGGCCTTTGCGCCCAGCCCTCCACAGCCCATCGTGGCGCTCCCTCCGAGGGGAGCTGATACCGTCTGCCTCACGTGGAAAACGAATCACTGCCGTCCTGCCTCTCCCACGGCAGCCGAGCTCCCTTCCAAAGTGATGCTAACAACCTCTCATATTATCTTCTCCATATACATCAATTTCAAGATTTTTGATCAGCTATGATTTATGATTAGTTATTTACGCTGTGTTACATGATGGATTTTTTTAGAGTTACAATTCAGCTATGCCCGAGAAAGAATGAAAATTCAAAATACGTTGTTATTTCAGCATCCATTTTGAAGCTCTTACAGCATAGTTAAAAATCACTTTTCTACCAGGTTACATTGAACACAGTGTTTCTTCTTTTTCTAAAATATATAGTTACCTAGATGCTATTCACTCAAAGTTTCTCTTGTATCACTTGGATTTTTCTATGAATTTAAGTCACACCGTTTTTAGTTCAGAATTTTTTTGAATCATGGATTTGTAGTTCAAAAGCAACAGGAAAATTACCTAGGAGAGTTTTGCAAAGTTTTGGAAATGCAGCCCCAGATAGAGTTTTATCTTGGGAAGAAGCTTAAATTTCTCTTCTCCTACATTACCTTATGTATTTTTTCTCAGCTGCTAACACTGTCTTTTTCTATAAGCACTTTGAAAAAAAATAACAAATCCTACTCCAGAACATTCCGAAATTGCAAACTCATGCCAGAGTCCGAACCAGGAGAATACTTAGTATTTCCCAGGGAAGACAGACAGTGATTTGAGAAACGGAGCACTTAAGGAAGCATGAGACACACGAGTAAGACTGAACCAAGAGCAGAAAGAGCCTTTCATGCGCCGTGTCTTAAGCCTGCCCTTTAGTACCAGCCACGGAGAAGAGCCAAAGCTGGCCATGTCTGAAGAGAAGCTGCTGATGCTCCACGATTGCTCCCAAGACCTGCCTCAATGTGTCTGTCCTGCACTGGATCTTTCCAAAAGAAGTCTCCTACCATCAGAGTATCTGTCTTTTGCAAAGGGAGTTACTGCCACATTGATTTTAAGGAGCTGAAGACAAAACGACTTTTGTTTCAAAGCCATAAAATTTCATGCACTATCTATTAAGTACACGCTCACATTTATCAGGAATTCCTATTCTTTGTAAGTGTGTGCTAGAGAATAAGTAGCAGCCTAGGAGTTTCCTTGGTGTCCAAAAGAGGCAGTTTAATGCAGGGTTCAGCTCTTGGTATCCTTCAGCTCAACCAAAGGGGCAGCAGTGGCAGTCACTTACATTACATTACGTCACATCCTGGGATATGGACGAGATGAAGGGCACTTATCTCACCCAGCGGAGACTGAAAGTTTGACTCTGCAATAGCTGGGATACAAGTTCATATCCTAGAACAACATTAAAATGGGTTTTTCAAACAAGGTCAAAAAATGCCCAAATTAGGACTTGTTGCCTAAGTTTCCTTTGGAAGCTAAACAATTTCTCTATTTTTCACAGAAGGATCTAAGTTGCCTAATGAGCATCTCATTCCTTGTCTGGTAACTCTCCTTACACAGCAATCTCACCTTACAGAATTGTAGAATAAAAGAGGAGGCTACACAAACCCGTATTATATTTTACGAGCTATATCATATTTTACAAGTTCTGGAAAGACATACACATAGCAAGATGTGGGATGCACTAACAAAGCAAGGATCAAGTGTGTGTGGGTGCCCTGCAAGCTTTTGGATGTTCAGATAAAACATAAATAGAATCCTGGACATGAGGGACACTGACTACTCGCATCATGCAGGGTCAAAAAGCAAGACAGATCAGAGGTGACAAGGAGTGAAGGGACAAGAGGAATAGGCAGAACAAATTTGGCACAAAAGAGCAGTTAAAAACATCCACATCGGGCTTTAAACTTTACATGAACAAAGAAATAAGTCAGTGAGGAAAGATGTATGCAATTTAACTATACAAATGCTGTACTCTAGATTCAGAAAATCAAATTGAAAATGTAGCTAAGTGCAGCTCCCTCTAATCCTCTGTATATTCATTCATCAAACTCGAATATACCTAATTACAAGAAAATAACAGGCAAAAAACTGCAAATAGGGACCATACCAAACCAGGAGGAGGAAGCCCCATGCCTATGAACCATTACTACGGGAGGTACATTCACTTACAGGAATCAACTTCTAGTCTTGATCTACCCTCCTTTAGCAACTTCCACTTTAAACTAAGTGCTGATCTCCACATTTTAAATTGCAAATTACTTTTCTAAATCACTTAACATCTATCCTTGAAATTTCACATGTCAACAGCTCATTAATATCTACAGTAAATGCAGCTCTCTGAAAAGAACTACAGATTTTACATTTATTGAGACAGATCGCTGGCCCAGAGAAACAGAGCTCCTTCAATTACTATTTGGCAGAAGCTAACTCCAGTTCAAAATGCGTCTGAAGGAATTTATGGCAACACTGCACTGAAGTGACTATTTGGAATAAGATAAGCTACTGTGGATGGTGATGCTTGGACAGTGTTTATAAATCAAACCTAGAACGTTGTAGTTTGTAATAGGCCACTTCAAAACTATCTGCCATAATCACCTATGTGGTATATTATGATGAATGCAAACATGGGTGGAGATGGGAAGTAATACAATGAGATCACTGTGATCATGAAGGCAAGAAAACCACAAAAATTCTTTATCTATATACATTTTCCGTAGCTTATATCTAATTAACCCAGATATTTGCAAAGCACAAATGACAGAAAGTCATCAAAATAGTACAGCTAACACAAAGAAGTATTTCAGCAACCTCAAATGTGTCTTTTGCAATTTGTGTTCCTTCAGAAAGGGATCACAAACAGTTTAAAAAGTATTAATCTGAATAGCAGCAGGGTTTTTTGTATCAATTTTCAATTATTCTATTAGTTTGATAAAATTAAATTTGAAAATTCATCTAAAAATGAATACATTGTAATAAATAAAACTAAAACATTTTAATTCAGTCAAATTGTTAGGAGGCTTGCCAGAGATCCAATATTTCATTTAAAATTCAAATGACATCAATGCTGTCAAATGTCCCCCATTTTGTTTTTTTTTTTTTTATTTTTTTTGCAAGGGTATTAACTTACTTAAAAAAAAAAAAAAAAGCAGCTGGCAACTGAAATGTTTGTCTATTTATGGAAGGTTTTATACAGTATAAACATTTTCATTTTTTGCCAAGATCTGGCTTGTAGACTGCGAATCAGTGAGCACATACACCAATTAAAACAGCACCCATTAATGTAAATGAACAAAACCTCTATTGAGAGCACCTTTCCATGACCTAGTAAGCTTAATGCTTTCACAAGAGGTGGAAAATAACTCCACAGGAGAAAGGAATCAAATGTGGAAACTTTCATTTCCCTCACAGAAATAAACCATGTGTGAATGTAAATGAGCATATTTAAGTGAAAACAGTAATAAACAAAATCTGTATGCCACAGTTTTAATTGCCTGCTGATCTGAAGAGCACTTCATCATAGCTAAATAGAGGCATGGAAAGCTCCAGTGGCTAACTGTTACTACGGATTTTGCTAGACAATGGATATGAAAAAAAAGTAATAACAGAATTAGTGGTTCATTCAGTAAAGGCAAAGCAGCTTATTAGTAATATATGCACTTTGGTTAAAAATCTAAACTTAATATTTTATTAATTTTAGATCTACTCAGTCTAAAATCAAGTTTTTAGCATTTTGGAGAGTGATTTAAGAGCTAATTCAACAATTACTGTTCCAAAGTTTTCTTGAAATTAATGTAGCTTTATAGCTGTGCATGAAGGTCTTACATTAACTTCAGTAAGATCTGCTGGACTTGGTCATCCAAGCATTTTTGTTACTGTAGCAGGGTACCTATTAAATGTGGTAAAATTCCACTACTATGTAGACAAGATCTTGAAAGCAGTCTTTGTTTCAACTGAGTCATTGCTTATGCTGAATACAGAGCATCAGGTAATGCCTTGTTTTGTGCCATCTCCTTGAGATGTGAAATTCCAGAAGTAGCCCATCTAAGGACTCTTTTTTTTGTAGCTTCAAGAGTTTAGTCTCACGGAGACTGAAGACTTATTAAGATAATTTCCTAATCCAAACTCTGTCTTCCTGACAAAAAATATTTGTTCTGGAGTGCCCCACCTGTTCTCACTTCAGTCCAGGACACGCAGCCAGAGGTTCATATGGAAAGTCAAGAGCCAACTGAGCAACTGCAAATCGTATTTTAGGCAAACTAATTAAGCTAGTCTTGTAAGGTTTGAACTTGCGAAGTATTTCCATTCAGAAATAAACATATATTAAAATGATGGGACCTTTTAAGGGCAGGGCACAAAACAGATTGCAGAGGCTTAATCTTGAAATAATGCAGTTCAGAGAAACTCAGCAAATTTCAGCATAAAACATTGGCAAAACTGAAAACACATACACTGGCTGCAGCAGAAGTCTCTAAACCCAGGTGCTGCATACACATGTGCATGTCACAGGAACCTGCACAGAAAGGCAAGAACTCAAAAACAGAACAATAAGCTACACTGGTAATTTCTGGCAGTCCAGCTAACAAGCAGAACATTTGAGTTCACAGCATTCTTGTTATTACCACTTCAAACCACATGTTTTTACCTAAAAAACCACATGTTTTTACCATTTTTCAAACCACACTATTTACCTAAAATCTGCAAGTATAAACTAGACAAGAGCAAACAGGCTTCCTGAAACCAGCCTCCACATGGACTGTTACTGGTTGTTAACAAAGTTATAATTTTACAGTTAAATATTAGTCAATATATCAATAGTCAATATTAGTCAATATCAGTCAATATACTTATTTACTTCATATTGCATTTGTTATCTTCTAGACAAACACAGAGAGTAAAAAAATCTCCCTAGTAGCGATCAAGATTGTCTCAAAGAGCTGAAGGAAACCCTCAGTGGTAGATGGGAATTTTAACAATTTACTTTGGTCAGCTGACGCTCCAGAATTGGATCTCAAGAATACCTCAAAAGCTGAAGTTCTAGGTGCAGTCATGAGTACATGTACAGTGCTGAGCAGGTGTACAAAGAAGCTGAGGTTCAACCACCAAATAGCCTGTTTTGTTTCTAAACAACAGTATGCATCATGCTGTACCATTAAAAAGTTTATCTACAAAAACTGTTCTAATAGCTTTGGTAGGTTGCTGAAGAAAAGTGAGATACTAGACTCTTAAAAGGGTGCCACAAATCAGCTGATTTCAGTGATATTCTGCAAAATGATTTTGCTTGGATGTCATCAGAATGTCATCTCCGGTTCATGCCCTGCATGCCCTGATTAATCAGGAAAATATTTAATGATAATCCATTTAAATGCAAAAAAAAAAAAACACCTAATTAAAACACTTTTATTAACCTCTCTATCCATTGAGAACTGATAAAAATTGGATGCTGGTGAAACATTTAACCATTAGAAGATTACATCTCAGTTAAATTCTCAGACCAACAGAATGGGATAATTACTGTCAGAAACCATAACAAGGGGAACCTGTAATCATCTGTATGAAGGAAAGACAAATCGACGTCATCCTTGAGCACAGTTATGTCCCAAATTAGTAGCTAACACTCAAAAATTGCCTTCTTTACAGAGGAGAACAATACAAAAATAAATAAAATTTAAATATTAAAAATTTATTAAATATGAAAAAAATAAATTGTTTAGGGGAAGCCTAAAAATAAGGCATATTAAGCATACATAAGCTTAAGTATGCTTAATGCCACATGAACGTAGAACACAGACATGTGTATACAGCCACATTCCCAACCATATGAAATATTACATGTTATAGGAATTACTTACGAATCAACATGAAGAACTCTCTGGCCGCTTCTGGAACATGCAGCTGCAATGATAGACTCAGGCAAACCTGAAAGGACATACGTCAAGTTTTAAAATTTAGTACACTAAGATGCATTAACAAATGAAACAAAATCAGAGATGAGTCAGTAAAAAGCAAATAGAACAACGAAAAAAAAAGAATACATAATGCAATATGTTAAAGCTTACTGGACGATTATTTACTACTAATAAAGAATAGAAGCTCTTACATTGTACTTGATATCCCATTAAAATTTAAGACTCTTACTGACAAGGGAAAAAAAATTAAATGGTTTAGCTAGCTTTATTACTCCTGGAACCTGAAAAGCAGTCTGGAAAGCATCTAGCAAGGCTTAAATATATGCAAACACAGTGTCATGATCTCTTTAAGCCCAAGACGACAATGCTACCATCAGCATAAAAAGGTTAACATCTCTGTCTTTGACCATTCCTGCCCTTCTTTCATGAGATGCCAATGGTTGGCTTGCAGTTGGTCCATGATGTGAATTCTGTTTCTAAGAGTTACTATTTTGACGGATTAATAAGAGGGGAAAAAAAAAAAAAAAAGCTTTCTTAACCAGCAAAACAGAAGACATTGCAATAGTCTACTGCTTCCACATGGATATCTGTAGCACAGAAGTAACATCAGAACAGTTTTATTGGTTCCAAGGACACCCACTCCACAACCCAGACAGGTCTATTGGTAGCAGTCATTTCAAAGGGGGTGGGATGTGATAGTTTTTGTAGGAAACAGGACATCAGACGTTTTCTACTCTTTAAGATGCCACAAAGTGTTCTGATCACCCTGTTTCAGAGGTTGCGCTTGTGCTGTACATTACACGGTTACTTACAGCAGGTAGGGAAGCCGGAAGTTCTAACACGACACCAAGACTTCCAAATCAGGACAATCAATTCAGTAATTGGCAGGATGCATATGGTTTATATGTTGATATGCTCATGTAATTTTTGACAGGCAAAACAGTGATATGTTAAATATGACTCATATGAACACCTCAACTAACTTCAGAATGAAGACCATCTAAAATGAATATATTTTATGGTAAAGGACTATGCCTTGTATTTTATTTTAAATGGCTCTGATAAAATCTTATTTAAAGTTCTTTGAAGTAAGAACACAAAAGACTGTTTCTTTGTTATTAATAACCTATCATACTTCTGACAAAGATAAGATACCTAGCAGGACCACACGCTTAGGGCTGTCATGAGATCCTGGCTACACACAGTCTTCTTTACGTGAAAGCAGCTCTGCCTTCAGCTGGCCTCCCGAGTGTTGGCATGAATGTTTCATTTCTCTGCATCAATCAACTATTTGGTTTAACTGAATCTACGATTAACATTTTATTTGTAGCTCCTCAAAGAGAAAAATATTTTCTTTTCCTTTTTTGGACACAGAGAATATTATTCTAGAAATGCAATCGAGAAGCTTGTTTCTCCTTCCACATTGATAAAAGCCACTGAGAACACATAACATCCCAGTGCTGCCTGGCTGAGCGGGCTTGGAGTTATAGCTACCAGGGCATAACAGATTGCTCTAAACTCGATCCAATTGATACTATGTTGGAGGTCTGTTCTTCCATTAACCTTGGATGAAATTGTTCCCTGAATTAGCTTCCTCACTCTTGAAAGCTGGCATCAATTTTCTTCTGCAACCCTTTGCTTCTGAGGTACTGTGGTCCCTGGAATACCCACAGGCAGCAGAGTGAGAAAGTGTAAGAAAGGTGATGGCCATGATCTGAGCTGCTGGAGAGGCTCTTAGGACCACCTGATGGAGCAAAGCACCACTTATTCTTATGTGACGCAGTCTCGGGAAACAAAATAAGACTGTGCCATTGCCACCTATGAATCCTGTTCTCCATCTGAAATAAAATCACAGAGGAAAAAAGGCAGCTTCACCAAATGCAAAATACTCCAAAATGTGATCTGGGCTGCGTGCTTGCATGAACTTTGGCATTCCACTGACAGTGGTCTGAAAACTTTAAACTGAAATATATTTAATCTTTGAAATGCTTTTAAGGCCTCAAAAGAGGGCTGAGCAGGTTCCAAAACTTCTGGTTCCTAGTTGGGTTGAGGATAATGATTTATTGCTGCTTTTATCCAACTGCAGGATAAAGGCTATGTCCATAAAATTGGTTCTGAAGTTACATTTACGTCTAATGATCAAGTAGAATTGGACATCTCTCTCTCACGAAAGATGACTCTAAAATCTCTTGCCATTCATTCCTTTTTGCGGGCCAGCTTGCGGTTTTGCTAGCCTAAGGGATGAAGGAATTGGTGTTATAACATATGCCACTCATGATGCTTATTCTTTTTGAACAGATAGTTGAATATCCCCCCAACAATTTAGAACAAAGAACAGCAAGACCTAAATGAGATGTAAATAAATATAGGTATATTTCCTTCTATCTGTATGAAGCGCTGAAAACCACTGCACCAGATTCCAGGGCTACACCAAAAACAGCTGCTGCACCAGAAGCAAGTGATCCAGCAAGTGGACAGTATAAACATTAGGTTTATCACAGGCTTTCATGAAGAGCAGAGCCCACTCTGACTGCATTACTGTTTGCTGCCACTTCTCCAAGCACAATCTTCTTAAACTCTGTAACAGGCAGATTAATCTCAACAGCTACTGCACATGCAGCCACCACAAACTGACCTTACAGACCTCTGTCTGGTTGTTACTAAGCAAAATTCTGATCAAACTTCTCATCAAACTCTGATCGGGGTAAGCTCTATTCACATGCATTTTTGTTTCTCCTCTATGAAGCAAAATGCAATTTCAAAATCATGAATGATAATGCATTTTAGAAGTAAGTACAAGAAACAAGTATTAGCTCTGCATTATATAGTTATCAAAATATCGGGTGAAATTTTAGTTTTAATTCCCCAAAATGAAAGTTGAAGATAACTGCTAAACCAGACAGAAGATAACTGCTAAGTCCTTTTCTTGAGCTTTACAAAGCTTTGAAAAGAAGTGGCATTTTAAATAAAACAGTTATAACTGACTTCTGTGAAATCCAAAATTAATTTCAGACTTACATATTGTATCTCTTACAGTTAGCAGCCATCCACAACACTTTAATAATGCACTGCCTCTTGGAGCGACCTCAAATGGATACATTAAATGCCCCAAACAGTTTATACACTGAACAGCTGTGTATGCACAGAAGCATCTCAGTTCCTGATTTCTCCCTGAAAACTATTTTCCAGTCATCTAGTTGATATGCTTTTACTGAACGACATGAGCTTCTTGTTGAAAAAGGTTTAAATGTTTAATTTGCTTTGCTCTATCTAATAAATAAATCACAAGTGGCTTTTCCATAATACAAAATGTTGAGGGGAAATATATTGAGAACGTAGGATAGAGACAATTTCCAAACAGCAATCTCGTTGAGTCAGACCAACTGTAATAAATTTTGTTTGTATCTGAACTTTTAAGCAGGGAACAGCAGCTGGTTCGGGGGAGGCTCACTAGATACCGCAGAATACCTGTGCACAACGCAAAACATGGAAGCTCACGGTTGGTGCAAGTAGAGGGTACTTAGAAAAGAGACCAGGCAGACACGTCTTGTCCAGATAAAAATTCGAGTACCTAATTTGTGATTAAAATGATGCTCAAACAAAAGTGTTGTTTGAGGGGCATAGAGAGGAAGAAAAAAAACAACTAATCAATACCAGAATATGTATTCTGAATTTGACTACACACACACAAAAAACCCAGAAAATTAAAAATTATCAAAGATATGAGAAAAGCAAGTATACCTGAGATGTCAATAACAACATGAATAGGATACAATCCTAGCAATATTAGAAATTCACATAAAAAATACATATCACTGCATGAATCTGCAGTGTATTACCTATATATTTTTGCTTGAATCAAGGTAATAGATTAAAACTACTACCTGTTTTGGGCAGGCCACTTTGTCAACTATAGGTAAAAGCATATTTATTTAAGGTAAGAAATTCTTTTTACTTGAAAGGCACAGCAGGTTTATTTTCTCAACCAGAGGAATACTCTTCAGTATAAAAGATAATTTTCAAACAAGTAATTTGAAACTTATCTATTAAAGTCAAAAACAAGTGAAATCCAGAAGACTTCATAGTGTCTTCAAGAAAAAAATGTAATTGTGTTAAAAAATGGGTGCTCGGGAGCAGATTTCTCTAGCACATGCTAGACCTGTGAGAGTCTGATCTTTGCCTTACATGACAATCCATTACTAATATCCGTTACTAAGTTTTATTTTAACCCAAATCCTTTAGTGTCTTCATCTTTCACTTCCTTTTCTGTCTCATTACAGAGACAGAAACTCTGCCTTCCTCCTTCCCTACATATTGTTTAAGTATTTCATAAAAGAGTTTTTAAGAGGATTTAAAGGGTTTAAAGAGTTGGTGCTGCCAACTTTATTACTAGTGCTTTGACTGGCTCTAGAGCAACCCCAGGGCACCAGTGACTTAAGAAGAGACAAGTCCTTGTAGCAGGATGGAATTAACATCCTCGTACCAGTGCAATGATGTTGATGTTTTCTCCTGCAAACAGACAAATACCTATTTTAGACATGGATTCAGACTGAAATTCAAAGTACTCTGCTGAGTACTTTCTAAAGTAGTTTTTCAGGCTCAACATGCAGACAACCTACTGTATACATTTAATAGCAACGCCACCGGAGCCCAGGCGAAGAAACAAAAAACAGTGGACTGAGAAAGAGAGCAAAAAAGGTTACTGTACAGTGAGTTTCCCTACCAGGAGGGCAAGGGACATTTCACAGTATTTGAGCCAGAATCCCATCTGAGATACCAGCAAGAGTCCAAATCCCCAAGGCTGTCACAGCAACTCTGCTATACAAGAAAACTCAAGAGCAGGCAGGCCCAATAACAAGCACGCAATTTGAGTCAGGTTAAGAAAATCTGGTGAGAAGGTAAAGGTACATTTATACTTGGAGGATATTTAAAAAAAAAAAAAAAGTGAGAGAGAAGGCAGAATGGAAAAAAAAAGATGTGTGTCTGATGCTTCCATACATAGATAATAAG